ATAACAATGATTTTCGGCTCCATGTGGAATTTAGTCAGTAATTTCGACATCAAATAACACAAGATACGGATTTTACAAGCAAAGAATTTTTACTAAAGACGGCATACTAAATTTCCACAACATTCACTATTGGTGTGATGTAAATCCTCAGGTTGTACAGAGATCTCGGTTCCAGCAACAGTTTTCAATGAATGTGTGGTGTGATTTTTTTGATTACAGAATTTTGACCGTCGTATGGAGGAATGTTTATGAACGCATGGAAACAACTTTGAACAATTTTTGTAGAGCATATCGTCTATTGGTTAGTAATTCCTTTAAATTTTCTGTTACTTTTAATTAGATTTGAATAAATTCCAGCATTTTCGAATACAAAATTTAAACCGTCAAAACCGCCTTCAGCACTTTCGCACGGTTTTAAATTTGTTTAAAGCTTCATGTATTTTTTTTTTTTCAGTTTAAAACATAATGTTTTAGACCATCAGTTGCTAAATAAGTTGCTTATTTTCGTGCTTTCTAAACCCTTTTCAAAGAACGCACTTATTTCAGAAAACCCTGTATATTTTTTAATAAATAAAATACTTCCACCAACTGACAAAATGCTAAATGGTTTTTGTCCTTCAATTTTATTATTTTTTTTATCTTTTACTTACCATCCTCTTTTTATTTTCTACCTTAACAACCATGTTATTCATAACGTCCTAAATATCATGCACTGTTTGGCATTGTAAGAAGTTGGAGGAGGTCATTTTAAGCATTTAATTAAATAATTTTTATTTTGATGTTTGTTGTTTCTTTGTTGACTTGAATAAATTATACAAATTTCCTGGAACCGTATTTTTTATTAAATTTCCTGACTTAATAGACCTATGAAAATGAAAACAAATACCTGCTGTTATGTAATTTTTTTTATTTAAGCCATTTTACTTCGTCACTGATTGGGGACAGATATATAAAAATATTTTTTTAAAATAAAAATCGAACTGCCCGGAAATTATGCATAAATAATAATANAGTGTATGAGAGGATCTGAATCTCAATCAGTGACGGAAAAAAGGTAAACAAAATTAATAGCAGTAGACATAATTTTTTGAATACTTATTATCCTCTATCATTGGTAAAACACTTTTTTAAATAAATCTACAAATATCAAGAAATGATTTCAGGGATTTCACATTTTTATTATGTTTTACTCATATCAACAAAACCAACAAATATCAAAATATACAGGGCGTTTATGAAATAAGCTACTTTTATTAAGCAACAGATGGCTTAAATGCGTCAGTTATCGAGAAAATTAAGAAAATTAGCCATAAATGCAATCCGACCCTGTGCATCTTGTGCACGTGCACGGACAGAATGCTTCATACTCGCTACATGCCTGAAACGCTTCTCTAATTGGCTGATGTTTCAGTGACCTCCAGAATCAAGCAAATATGATGGTAGGCTAGTATGTCTTGTATTATTTAATTGTGTGTAGCAGTATTACTTAGCCGGCGTATAAAATGTTTTCTGATCAAGAACTACCAGAAATGGAGAATGTCAGTACAATTTAAATGAGACTTGTCGTTTGTATGCGGTCCGTTATCGTAACAAACGACAAACTAACAGTAGTACAGTGCAAAATACTGTTTCAAAGGTTACGGGATACTGGGAATGTCCACCTGACATATGAAGGTTGTGGACGGGAAAGGCCGCAACAGGTTTTCGACAACGAAGAAAACATCATAATCCTCGTTGAGGAAGATCTGAGGCGCAGTACTCGCAACATTGTCCGAGAAATGGATGTATCTAACAGTACCGTATGGCGGGAACAACAATTATTACACCTCTATCATATACAAAGGGTCCAGGCATTAAATAACAATGATTTTCGGCTCCATGTGGAATTTAGTCAGTAATTTCGACATCAAATAACACAAGATACGGATTTTACAAGCAAAGAATTTTTACTAAAGACGGCATACTAAATTTCCACAACATTCACTATTGGTGTGATGTAAATCCTCAGGTTGTACAGAGATCTCGGTTCCAGCAACAGTTTTCAATGAATGTGTGGTGTGATTTTTTTGATGACAGAGTTTTGACCGTCGTATGGAGGAATGTTTATGAACGCATGGAAACAACTTTGAACAATTTTTGTAGAGCATATCGTCTATTGGTTAGTAATTCCTTTAAATTTTCTGTTACTTTTAATTAGATTTGAATAAATTCCAGCATTTTCGAATACAAAATTTAAACCGTCAAAACCGCCTTCAGCACTTTCGCACGGTTTTAAATTTGTTTAAAGCTTCATGTATTTTTTTTTTTTCAGTTTAAAACATAATGTTTTAGACCATCAGTTGCTAAATAAGTTGCTTATTTTCGTGCTTTCTAAACCCTTTTCAAAGAACGCACTTATTTCAGAAAACCCTGTATATTTTTTAATAAATAAAATACTTCCACCAACTGACAAAATGCTAAATGGTTTTTGTCCTTCAATTTTATTATTTTTTTTATCTTTTACTTACCATCCTCTTTTTATTTTCTACCTTAACAACCATGTTATTCATAACGTCCTAAATATCATGCACTGTTTGGCATTGTATTAAGAAGTTGGAGGAGGTCATTTTAAGCATTTAATTAAATAATTTTTATTTTGATGTTTGTTGTTTTTTTGTTGACTTGAATAAATTATACAAATTTCCTGGAACCGTATTTTTTATTAAATTTCCTGACTTAATAGACCTATGAAAATGAAAACAAATACCTGCTGTTATGTAATTTTTTTTATTTAAGCCATTTTACTTCGTCACTGATTGGGGACAGATATATAAAAATATTTTTTTAAAATAAAAATCGAACTGCTCGGAAATTATGTATAATTAATAATACTCGTATAGATTTAAATCATAATTTTCTTCTAATATTTGGATTTTCTAATATGTACTTAATTTAGTTTTGATATCGATTTTCATTCACAGCATTTTTTCTTCTTTTCTTTTTCAAATATTCTTAGGTATTTCATGGCGAACACATACAAATATTGCAGTGCGATAATATAGGCATTGATACAATAAATACTTTTTATAAAAAATAAATTTTCTGGGCCAAAATTTGTAAATATACAAGGTGATTTTTGCATTATCACTCATTTTAACTATAGTTTATCAATAATTTGTGAAAATCAATTTATAATTGTTATGCATAATATGCAATTGAAGGTCAACAAAACCTTGGAATCAGAAATCCAAAATTCAAGGATCGTATTGGGAAATATCGCAGCCTTTTGTGACAACTTAAAAAAATTCATGCTCTATATTTTTGGTATTATTTTTAAAGGAAAACACTATTAGCTTTTCAATATTATTTTAACAATAATAGTATAGTATTCGGTATTGCCAATTATACTACGATTTCTATTGTAATTATACACTAAATTAAAAAATTATAGATTTGAAAACTTTTATTCACTTGTCGCATGGCAAAAACTCCGTTGGTATATTTTACCAGAAGATTCAGTATCTACATTAGATCAAAAAATTGTTGTTTAACTTCTACATTATATTTTAAATAATAAGTAACCTATGAAATGAGGAATAATATGCTTATCATAAAAATAATTTAGTAAAACTAACAATTATTATTAGGTATCCTTCACGTCAAGAAAATTGAGAGAAATATCTACTATTAGTTACTTTACAAAAATGTACCATTCTTCATGTAGAAACAAAACTTTTTAAATGAAGTCTAATTACTAACTTTTTGTATGCGGCATGTGAATATAAATCTTCCTTCTAGGACCTGTGCAATCTATAAAATTAAAGTAGGTCGTGGAATTAATACTGAACTGAAGTATGAAATCCCAACTGTTTCCTTTGTTAATAATGAAAAGTTGATTGGAAAATATTTCAGCAGAATTTCATTGTTAATTCAAAATTTAAAGAATGTGTGACACAAATTAAATGCATAATTTTCTCATTAGACACAGTGTGTGTATCAAAATGAATTAATTCGCAGTATATCCACAAATTTTGATCCAGAACTGTTTTAAGTGGTCATTTCATATTTCCACAAACTGTCCCACTTTACTATTATAGTATTTATAGTATGTCATGAAACACCCTGTTTGACTTATGTACATATTTGGAATTAAAGCAAAAAATACTACTTCACTACGTTGCCGTTGCTTAAATAACTTGAGTGTTATTAGTTACATCAATAAATTTAATAGCACCATCAGCTAAATTATTAAATATAAATCAAGATTAATTTCAAGCTTTTAACTCCATTTTGTAATTAAAACAAAAACTAAATTGGAAATATCTATTAGTCAGACAAACTGGAAAATTTATCAAAAGTTAATATCACAATATTAAATTAATTAGGTAAACAACTGAAATAAAAAGGAAACAAATGTTCGCAAAATCCCGGTCTGTATTAAAAAAAATGGTCATTAAGAAGACACTTGAAATATATACGACATTGATATTATTAAGAAAGGTTAAAAAACAGTTTTGTGCTAGTTGGTAGAATTATCATTTATTAATCGTATTTGAAATAAGTAACTAGTTTGAAATCTATCTGAAACATAAACAAAACTTTTTCAACTAATTTTGGGGATTTTCTAATTTACTATACCAGTTAAAAGAAATATAGGTATATGATAATTTCTTCATAGACAAATTCAGATTTATAAAAACTGTCTCTAAAAGGCGTTAGTCTAAGAGCGACAAAAGTATTAAAAGTAATAGTCTTCCCGAAATCTTATTAAGAAAAAACTCCTGTTACATACATCATTTATGGATAAACTAACATTTTTCATTTTCTTTAAATTAAACCCAAAAATCGCACGGCTCACGTTGACCTTACACTCGAGGCATAATGAGACTTCTTTTGGAGGCTCAACAAAAAAATTACCACACAAATCACCAAACTACCGAAGTTCCGGATCGACCTTTGATCCCCAGTATTCATTCCCTGCAGATCTGCACCGTGTATATAAATTGGGACCAGGTCGTACCTTTCATTTAGTATTCGTAAACGGTAATAATAATCTCGCGTTCACCTACGTCTATCGAGATGAAGTTCGCTGTTGCAATTGTTTGTTTGGTTGTGGTGGCTGTCGCAAGGGTAAGGCATATTCAGGCTTTATTATTTCATCTTGACGAAAATCCATTGTAATACTGAACGGCGGTGAGTGTGATGGGGTAGTCATTTTAGTTAAATATAGACGTGTATTTTCCTTTTCTACTAGTATTGGCTATTATAACATCTTCAGACAAAAAGAAAAATGACGCTCAAAAGAATTGGCTGCACACAACTATCAGTTATTTTTCTGTCGTTCTATATTTATAGAAATATTTATTGTTTGTCATTAATGTGTCACTATGATTTGAAAGAATTTACTGATTTTCATTTCAAAAAATTTTGTTAAATATTAATAGTTTCATAAAGTCAATTCTTCTTCATCAATGATTGTTATTTTTCTTTTTCCCTGATGATGGCATAGTAGTAAACTGGTAGGAAAGGAAAATAAATGTTTATACTGACTTAAAAAGGACTAATTTACCCCATCGCACTTTATTATTTCAAATTTTCAAAAGTTTTGAAATTCATTGGGAGCGCTGGATTTTTAAAATATTTTCAAATACTGGGTAAAGGGGATACACTTTTAAAAGGTACTTGTTAACTTTTAAAAACGCGATTTAAATGTAAAAAAATATATTGTGGATGGGACATTTGATTTCATATATGCTTTATATGTAGATAAAACTGAAATTTCCAAATAAAGGTGAAAAATAAAAATAAACAACAACTAAAAATATATATACATAAATTATTTTGACATTTCAATTTCTACAAAATAATTATTCTTTTATTGAAATAAAGAATAATAAGTTTAAACTGGCTCATTTTATTACAAAAATAAAAGTTACATCTAAATAAAAAAAAATATATCTAAATATAAATAAAAAGTTAAGGTTAAAAAATATAAAAAAGTAAAAAAAATCTAAAAAAATTAAAAATCTGAAAAAAAATAAAAATAAAAGTTTTTTTTGGTCATTATTTCAAAATTGACTTACCAGTATAATAGAATAGACACTAAGAACTTGCCAAAATTGGCTTCTTACTACACAATGCTAGAAAGCACTGTTTTCCAGATAAATAAAAAATGTTAAACGATCTCTAGGTAATTAGTGGTAAAAGGTAAAATATCAAATTATTGTTTAAATTAAAATAATTATTATTCAAGTAACCAAGTCATCTGTCATGAAATTGAGTATTATTTAAATGTCTCCCTTCAACTGTTTTTTGCAACTTGAAATAAACCATATTTTTTTCAGTAATTTTGAACACCCTGTAATAAAGGAAAGGTTGCGGGACATATGTTTATATGAAATTTTTTGTTAATTTTTGTCGTAAAATCCACCATTAAAGTTTGGCGAAACTATTTACTTACACTCTGTATTAGGGTGGCCCAAAAAAAACTAACATTTTTTTTTTCGTGTCTTGTGAAATTATGTTAGTTTATCATGTCTTAAGAGCCCCCTCAAAAAATCAGCTCAAAAAAAATTTTTTTAGAGGTCGCTCAAGATTTTTAAAGATTTCCAAAATCGTGATTTATTTCTATTCTTTTGTTCATAAAATTCAATAAAAAAATTTATTAGTTCGCTATTATTTATTTTTAGAGGTCGCTCAAAAACATTTTAGGTACACTACTTTTAAAGTTAAAATAATTATGAGTGACCTTTAGAAATTAAAATATCGATTTGAAATTTTCAGTCAACC